GGCCTCTCTCATCTTTTTAAGTGGGAGAACATGCACAATTGATGGCTGACTAAATACTTTTTTGCCCCACTGTATATTCCAGGTGGAAGGTCCCATATAATGGGAAAGATTTCTGCTGAGACAAGATATATCAGTTGGATGGCATTGTTCCTTTAAGACCCTACAGCCCATTGCAATTGGTGAGAATGGAGGAATGAGCATTCACACCTTGGGTCTCCAATGCTAAGACCTAAACTGTCCATCTCTCAGCCCTACCAGACATCCTAGACAGTAAAATTATATTAAAGCTCAAGTATTTCTACCCAACTTCTGTTGTATCATAAGCCAAAATGATAATTATCAGAAGCTTTAGTCCAGTATTTCATAAATCCAGCCAAAAAACTCCTGAAAGAAGTTCTGAGGTCATAGAAGACCAGGGAGATTCCTTAGAAAAGTCCAATGAAGACAATATTTGTTAGGAAAATGTTGTGTTCGTGTGTGGGGTGGGGTGGAGTAGGGGTTAAGTAGGGTCAGTTTTATTGATTTTGAAGACATTAAATTGTCTTAGACCCAAACAGTCTGATTTCAACAATTTCCAACTAATCCCTAAAAAAATGTAACCATAATGTATCAATCTGTTTAAAATATTTAAGAAGAATCAATATTGGTACTGCTCTTCAAATGTTTAGATGCACAATTCAGTTTTACAATATTAATTCTTCCCCCCAATCATAATGCTATTTTCATCCATGTCTTAATATCCCTTTTCATTTCAGGGATACATTTTTAAATGTTCTCAATGACCACACCAGATATTTAATAACTTCTAGACAACATAGAAAATCTAATCTTTTTTCCATGACCTTTGGAACCTTCTTCCCAATTGGCATAATATATGACTGACCCCAGTTTATTGTATACCCAAAATATTTACCCTTTAATTGTATAACCTCTACAGATTTTGGTAAAAATGGTTGGCAGTTATTTGGAAAAAAAAAAATACTGTCTGCATATGACATCTTCTATTCAAATTCAGCTAAACAAATTCTCTTGATTTCAGAAGTTTGATTTATTTGGCATGCCAGAGACGTCAACCCCAAATTAAAAATTGAAGGCAATAAGGAACAACCTTGATTACATTTTAATAAAAGGGGAAGTAATCTCATTAGTAATTATGCAAGCAGAATATTATTTGTTTGTAGAATGCCCAGATATTTATAACTATCTCTATTAAGTGTAAAACTTCTTAATTTGTTTCTATCTGGCATTTCAGTTCCATTACTTTTAATCAATTTTCCTTTGTTTACCACTAATGATACACACTTACATAGCCAAAAATCCATGTAATTACTATAAATTTAGACTATATGAAGTAGTGATTCAATTTCTAATTGTGACTTACTGTATAGTTTCAGGTCATACATATAGAGGAAGTGGGAAAGCTTAGCTGATCTGATGTCTGATATCCATGGCACATTTTATTCAACATTATTAATAATTGAATCAACAGTGTTATGAATAGTAATGGTGAGACAGGATCTTCCTGAAATGTTCATCTTTTGATGTTAATTTGGCCAAGTTGTTCACCATTCATTATCAGCTGTGTTTTCCCACAAGCTTATCATCTTTTTAACAATTGTTTTTGAAGTTATCACTTACTCTTGTCATTTCCAAGCACTTTAAAAGTCAATTGTGTGACAATAAGTCAAATGCCTTTTCATAATCAATCCAACCAACATGCAGATTTATCCTTCTTCTTTTGTAATTTTCCAAAATCATCTATTATTTTATCTATTTCTGTTCTGTTGAGCTGGTGACAGATTGTTGTTTTTTAAATGATCTGGTATGGCATCTGCTATTATGCCAGGAAACGTTTAAATGTTGTTGGAATACAAGTTATCAACCTGTAGTGGCTTGGTACTTTACATTTTTCATAATCTTTCATAAGGAAATAAGTCTTAAAGAGGACTTTTTCAACAAAGATATTAAATTTGAAAGGGTCCATTTTACTCTCAGACAAAAGAAACACACGGCACAAGAAGTACTTGTCTCAAAGCAATATTGCAAATTTATTTGCTTGTGCAATATACAATACACAAGCATGCACATACACACATACTCTCATACTCACACCAAGACTTCCCAGGCATCAGCAGGGGTAATGGAGAAAACAGAGAGCTTTTTTAAAGATGGAAGTCTTCTAGCTAGTCTCTTGTATCTGGTCTCTTTTATTTTTCTCCAAGTCAGTGCTGACTCCTGGCGACTGCCTGGACCAGTCCCTCCAGTTTTCTGGCAAGATTTCAAAAGTGGTTTGCCATTGCCTCCTTCCTAGGGCTGAGAGAGTGACTGGCCTAAGATCATCCAGGTCAATCAGAATCTCCTCATTTTGACACAATTATCTGCTCCATGAATCATTCAGCCTAAGATATTAGCACTCCAGTTTCCAATGGATGGTAGGTTTTATTGGTATATTGTAATAATAATAAAAGCTTTAAATAAGCCATGATACAAGAGGAATTGCAAACCCAAGTTTATGCCAAAGCAACTGACATTTAACAGTTCAAATCTATTTCAGCTAAAAAAGGAGAGGGACTATCTTGTATTTTAAAGACTTTTTTTTTTCTCCCTAGAGTTTTTCCTGCAGGTGCAGGGTCCACTTTTTTTCTTTTGGATCAACCAAATGGTGATCCATTGGTTGTGACAGGAATTGACCAACCAGCTTGTCACCTGAGCCTGCCATCATGGGCTGAAAGAGAGTGACTGGCCGAAAGTCACTCAGCTGGCTTTCATGCCTAAGGTGGGACTATTACTCACAGTCTCCTGGTTTCTAGCCTGGAGCCTTAACCACTAGACCATACTGGCTCTCTTAATTGCCTCTTTAAAGACAGTTATATTATGTTGTTATATAT